TGAGTAATGAGTAAAATTTTATCACAATTTTTAAGATTTAACATCATCATAGGTTTTGTTTTTTGATAAGTTACTTGTTCCACCACAAGTATAAAGTGTTTTATTGAGTAATAGGTTAAGAAAAATTATGTTTTCGGTAGTCAGAAGTTTTATTTTCTTATTGAGATGAGACTATACATTTTAATAATGCCAGTGTTTTAAAGACATTAAAATACACTCTTTTGTTTATTTATTCATTCCTCTAATTAGTTAAAATTGTTGAGGAACTACCTTACATCGGGGTTTTGGCTAGATGGTGGGCATACAGCAGTAAGCAAAAATAGATGAGTCTTAAACGTAAAGATATTTATTTTCTGTGAGCTGTTTATGAAATAATGAAAATATAAATAAGCATCCAGGAATAATAACAAAAATAATTAATTGAGTAGTAGAAGAAAATAATTCTTTTCTCTTAACTTTCAGACGCCATCTGGATTTCTCTCTTTATTGGATGAAGAAAGTCAAATGATTTGGTCAGTGGAACCAAGTCTTCCCAAAAAGCTCCAAAGTCTCCTAGAATCCTCAAATACAAATGCAGTGTATTCCCCCATGAGGGACGGGAATGGAAACGTTGCACTCAAAGGTCAAGGCACAGCGTTCACGGTCATGCACTACGCGGGAAGGGTGAGTCAGAAGTTAACCGTGATTATCACATGTACCAATGGACCAAAGGTCTTAAGGATAAGCTTTAAAGTTTTTGATATTTTGGAGTTTATTATTTTAATAAACAAAAGTTGGGTGAACAACTGACACGATTTTACTTTTCTAAGCTATTTTCTTTAGCCTGATAAGAACTTGTATCTAGAAAGTGGGAGATGAAGCGTGCAGTATAACACTTCTCATAATGTTTTGAGAATTATAACTTAGTATGAGAAAAAAAAAAAACCTGGATTTAATACAGAGAGCTCTGCTGTGAACTTTAGGATATTTTTATAATCCAAACAAACATTGGATGTCTGAGTTTTTAGTATTAAATTTTTATCTTAAAGTATGCAACCTAAGAAGCAAGCTACTCTCAGATCTCTATAGATTCCCTAACCAGCTTTGTCAAACATTCTTCTTTCTTTAGAATCTTTAATGAACCCTTCTTACCTGTCTAAAAAAATTCACACTCCTTAGGCTTAGCTCCTCTCAGGCTTCTTCAAGCCGATGCCTATCTTTTTTTTCTCATGACTCAGCAGTCACACCTCCCCTCTACAAAACCTCTGTTCAGGTTACTTTTTCTAATCCACTCACTGTTTCTGGGCATCCCCTGTCTCCCCTTAAACTTCCTCATGCTCAAGCTTGAAATATCCTTCTTATCTTCTTCATGAGGTCAAATTTTATCCATGTCCTTCTTTTAATACTTAAAACTATGTCCCATTAATCTTCAGTCCATCTCCCATCTATAGTTAATGTCTTCCACTTTTGAAATTATAGCCTTCGGGTAGTTTCCCCCATTTGGCACTCAGTACAAATTATATATTAGAGGGTGAAATCTCTACTCGCTCTCTCACACTCAATATATTACAGTTCATTTTACTTATTGTTTATTGAATCTCTACGTCAAACTCAGAGCGCTAGAAGCTCAAAGGTGAGTTAAATCTATTCCTTGTCTTGTGGTCAAATAAGGAAAAGATAAATTGACAAATAATTATAATGTGTTTATAATAATGGTAGTAATATTAACAATGTTCCATATTACTACAGAGAAGGAAACAATTATTTGACTTCAAAAAAAAATGTAGAAATGTTTTCTAGAGGAGGTAGAATATGACTCAGGCCTTCAAGGGTGAGTTAACACTCACTAAGGGTCAGAGGGAGGGGCATCCCAGTAAAGACATGGACTTTGAAAATGAGTGGCACATGTAACCCTCAGGACTCCACTGCATAGGATACAATTCATTCTAGCTGTTCAAGCAGGAAACAACCTTAATACAGGAAAATAATTGTTGGGAGATTTTAAGTTGAACTTTCATAAATGACCTTAATTAAAACCACACCACATGATAAGGCTCCCAATGTAGTTATGGCTTTGTCTTTGTTCAGGAAGCCTCCAGCCATATTGAGAAGCTGCTGATACAGGTACTGACTCTTATTTAGTGCTACCAACTACACCAGTAAAATATTCATACCCTATCACACAACATAGAAGAGGTCAGTGATGGGGCCTAGAGACCTCCACTGCTAGAGAAAAACAAAACGTCTTCATGGCACACTTACCAGGTAAAACAGCCAAAACAGCAGACACATGGCCTCCATCGCTTCTGCCTTCTAAGTCTTGTGCAATAGTGCCAGACTGGTGGGAGCTACACAGCAATCAGACGCTAGCTGCAAAAGAGTCTGGGAAGGGTAATTTTTCCACTTTTCAATGTCTTCAGTACAGGAAGGCAACTAGGATGAAGGCTGTGTACCATTATGCCATATCTACCCACACTGTAGTTGGGAAATGGTACAAAAAGTTTAGTAAGTCTGTAGAAAATGATAGGAGAAAAGTGTAAAAATGCTGTTTTTGGCCAAGCCAGGAATAAATATGCATATACTACTCAGGACTTTGTTCTCTTGACAGCGTTAATGCATCAGATGTTTTTAGACAAGGTAGGGGATGAAGTAAGAGAAGCATAATCTAGATGAATTGCAAAAAAAGGAAAGGGGGCTATGGAAACTCAAGCAAGGGCTGCATTTGAGCGATGACAGTGGACCGCATCAGAGGCCTTCATCAGGAAGCGAGACTGAAGATGGAGACTGACTGGGTGTACGGAGCAAGGGAGGAGACGTAACTTGAAATGACACTGCAGTTTTTCATCCTGCTGGATGGTCGTGTTATGCCATTTAAGAGAGGAAATCCTAGAGAATGAGGCAGTTTAGAAGGAAAGGTATTCAGTTTTAGATGTTTCAAATTTGAGGTTTTAATAGAATTCCCAATAGGTTGCTAACAATACATGACACTGGGATGAAAGAGGTTGGTTGTTTTTTAGAAACAGTTATATTTTTGGAAATGTGTATTTTGATCATTGCATCCAGAAAGAACATGGAGAAGATGGAGAAAAACAGTTAGCAGGAAAGAGAAGAATCAAAGAAACCTAGAGAAAAGAAGGAGGAGGAGGGGTCAACAGGAAATGCTCTGGGATGAGACAGGACAAGGGGCATCTTTGTGAGAAGTTATAGTAGAAAGATGTTATATGATGGCTTGAGTATTTAGTGGATGTGGAGAGGAAGTCAGTGGAAGATTTTATGTACAACAGTTAATAACTTTCTCAGAGTTTATTCTTTTATGTTTGAGAGATTTGTGTGTGTGTGTTACATGCTATCGAGTCAGCTCTAACTCTTGGTGACTCTATGAATGAGCGATGTCCAGTGTCCTGTCCTCAGCACCTACTCAGCTTCTGTAGACTCACGCCTATTCATGCCTTCCTTTAGGGGATCAATACATCTCGTATTTGGTCTTCCTCTTTCCTTTCTGCCTTCTATTTTTCTCAGCAGTATTTGTCTTTTCCAAAGAACCCTGCCTTCTCATGATGTGCCCGAGACAGGACAGTTTTAATTTTGTCATTTTTGCCTCCAGCAATGTTTCAGGCTTAATTTGCTCTAAGACCCACTCATTCGTCTTTCTTTCCAGGGTATCTGTAGAGCTCTTCTCCAACACCATATTTCAAATGAATCATTTTTTTAATGAACTATTTTTTTATCTGCATTCTTCACTGTCCAACTTCACATTTATACATAGGAATTAGGAATCTGAAGAGTGTGTGTGGGTGACCTTAGCCTTGGTCTCTAATGACACATTGCTCTTGGTGAGCTTTCCTAATTCTTCCATTTAGCTTTCAAAGTTCTTGGTAACAGTCACAATATTTTAGTCCTATATTCAGATTTTTAAATTTATGATTTTCTATATTAGCATTTATTGAATCTATAGGATTTATTCAAAAAAAATACAATAAAGTATAACTAATGATTTTGGAAAATTATTTTTCTATAAGTTTCATGGGAGATATCTGAAGTCAGTATATACCTGACCAATCTTATAAGTCTGTTTTTATTGTATTTTAGAAAGGTATTAGATATACAGTAAATGTTAATTGTATTAAATTGAATGAGACCAAGTTTTGGTAGTTTATGTTTGCTTTTAAAATTGTTCTCTAAGCACTTAATGAAGTTTCCATTTCAATTGTTTTATACAAACTTGGGGAAAGAACAGTGAATAGTTTTAATGAATGTATTTAACTGAGTTCTATTAGCAATAAAGCAAAGCAGAGAAAAACATTTGATTAGTTACCATAGAGCCAAAACCCCGTGGATTCATGAATTTTCCTATAAAAGCACCTTTATATTTTAGGCAGGATTTTCCATAATTGGAGTCAGTTTTGTAGTTTTATAAAAAAAATCTTTCAATTCACTGAGATGTACTAATGAGTCTTAGCCCAAGGACTCCCTAAGGACTCATTCACATATTACAGTATAGATTATATGTAATTTGTGACAATATGTCAAGCCATATGCCATTCTAGTCATCAGATGTAGGTACATGTACTTAAATTTTGAGCTATTGCATTTTCAAGAAAAGCAGCACATTCTGCATTTTATAAATCAAGAGATGTAGCAAGGAGCTAATTGGATTAAAATCAGCATGCGGAGTCTATTTTGGACAGTAGGGTGAATATTCCTGAATAGCTCTTTAGTGATAAAGTTGATCCCAAAGGCGAGTCCCATAGCTCTGGGGTTCTTGGGCTGCTTTGCAGGTTCTTCTTTGGCCAGATGGATGAGTTAGAGAGTCTCTCTCATCTCCACTTACACACTGTGACAAGTTTACCTGGTTTTGTTAGTAAAAGCTCACTGCATCTCGTAGGAAGGAATAATCATTACTGCTGGTGATGATATTGACATCCAGCCCCATCAGGATGGCTTCGCCATCCTTCTCTGACTGTGGGACCCTCCCATGCTTCTAAACCTTGTTTGGAGCAGAGGCTCAGAGGTCCTTTTAGAAACGTTTAAGCAACATTATTTGCTTTATAACAGAAGAGCTTTCCTAAACACATTTGAATTTTTCATTACTCATAGGAGCATGGTATATTTTCTAATCTCCATTACAGAAATATTTTCAAGTAAATGGGAAGAGGCTGTGCATGAAATATTAACAGGGTCTCATTAATGAGCATGAATCTGAATTAAAGATGACTGTGAGTCATGTTTTGTTATTGTTATTTGTTTTAGCAAATTTTAAATCATATAGGGAATTACCTGTTTTAGGAATTGCTATTAAACTTCTTCTGGTGATTTAAATGATAGATAAGCATTAAATCCAGAAGTGTGTCTAATTTTATTGGCTTCTAAAATTAAGAATCTCAGAGGAAATAAGAATTATTATTTGGCAAAAGACCTGGGCTCTTAGGAAATTTTAATTTCCATTAAGGTGATTCTGAACTAACTTTAATGGGAAATAGTATTTTGAAGTTCTTAAATTTTAATATAAGAAAAGGGAATAGAATAAGAGATAGTAAAGCAAAATGAAGTAATAAAAATTAAATTAATGGAAAGAGAAATCAAAATTAAAAGCTGTATTATATTTATATAACATGTATCTGACCTTCGATGTATGCTTGTTAGGTCTTTTTGTCTGAAAGTTGTTTATGGTGATCTTTTAGTTT